TCTTGCGGAGAAGTAATTTTGCGAGAGTTAAATTCCTTTATGCCTAAAAGGAACCCATGGGGTAGTTGTGTAAGTATTAAGGTGTTCGCCCCGGAACTAGATTCATGTTTCGTAAGAGCCAACATTACTTTTGATGGAAGCCTACATTTGGAAGCGGCTCGGGCGTTGGAGCAAATCGATGGGAAAGCGTTGCAGGGATTCCATTCATGGCAGAAAATACGAGTTCACGAAATGTTTCATAGCTCTGTTTACTGTCCTGCACCTGTGTATTTTGTCTTATGAAGTGATTTTGCATGTACGTTTATAAAGCCATGATTTGTACTACATTTTGCTGAGGTATCCGATACTTAAAGATTAGACCTCTTCAGCATATTTTTTTTTCAATGATGGTAGCTTGATGTGGTGGTATTAGCAAGTCGATTGGGGTGAGATGCATATTCCCGACTGTGTTTAACCTTATCGCTCGTTTTACAGGTTGTGACAAATGTTATCTGGAAAGAAAAGATAACTGTAGTAATCTAATGCAAAACCCAAACCAGTAAATGCCAAATAGAGCCCTATAGCTGCACACCATTGATTCTTGCTGCTAATAATACCGTCTTTTTCGTAATTTTCCTCTTCCTTCGATTATTCTGCATAATTTATTACATCATCCTCTTTCTTCTGCTGCCGCCGCCTTTCCAAATTCAATTCCAACTCCAGCAAACGAACCCATTGCCTGTAAGCGAACACATGAAACGGCGCCCTGGGTTGGCAGAGGTCCAAGAAGTGTGTATGCGTAGTTGGTTTCCGCACTGACATAGATCTCGTTGCTGCCCAGTTGAGTCGAAACCCCCATTTTGACGGATGCTCGAACTCCGTCGCGAAGTAGTACTCCCAGAGCTCATGAGGAGAAATTAGAATACAACGACAAACAATCGATCAACAAGCTTTATGAGAGAAAACAAAATAAGTCAGTGACAGAATAGGGTGTGGAAAGAGATTCATCGGTGCACAACGTTTTTAAAAGGGAGAGATTCTCTAAAGAAAAGAAGATGAAGAAGATGATATAAAATATGTTTTTTTAGGGGCAATGCAGTAATTTTACTAATTAACACACATTGATCCCTAAAATCACCCAAACAAAACATGTTTTTTTTTTTGTCAGGGATTATTAGTCTCATGTGTATAACTCCAACCAAAGGAAGTATTAATCACTGTGAATCAACAATTTAGTCACAGTATTACATATCCCATCAATAGCTATCTATCCAAACTACCGAACCAAAAGGGCCCATAGAGTATAAATAGCAGCACAGCACATCGTTTCGTGTGTGTGTCTTCTCGGAGAAAAAAACAAATCTCTCATTTCTTTGCTGCTGTTGCACGCGTTTTATTGGAGAGAAAAATTATATTTTTCTGCTCTTATTTTTGCTGCTCCCGGAACGTCTTTGATCGAGAGAAGTTTTTCACAGAAAATATTTTTCCTCTCGTCTTTTATTGTTCCATCGTGATACGTGATTTTCATAGAAAATATACCGGTTTCAAGGCTTTGTGGTGAAGACACCAAGATTCAAGGAGTATCACAAGTTTGCTTCTTCTATACAAAAAGAAGATCGGTTCTTCGGGAGAGGGGCTTAAACAGATCTCGGGAGGAGATCGATCCGCCGACTGAGGGATTCAGCGTTGAAGGGAGTTCAACCGTGCGGAGCAAGGGACGTGCTGCAAAGTGAAGATTGATAATTCAGCGTAGTATACAAGAACGGCGTCGACAAAGAGGGAGTCTTTGTATTTCGATTAAGTCCTATTATTGTATTCGTAAAACTAAAAATTAGTAAATTTTATTTGCAGGTCCCCGTGGATGTAGGGTACAATTGTATCCGAACCACATTAAAATTTGTGTCTCGTTTATTTCTGTTTTTACGAACTGCTTCACGAACTGTTGCAACACTTCACGCAACAGTAACGAAAAACTTAATCGGACACAAATAATTTATATCTGCACGAAATAAATTCTAACAAACATAATAAGATCACTTAAGAGATAAATTAAATATACTAATAAAAACCCAATTGTATTATTTGGGCCGTGATAAAATATTATTTATGAGAATCATCTTTATGTTGTTAACATATAGGCTCACCTCGAGATCGTGTGTAGTGAGAGAATTACGGCAATGAGGTTTGTGACGACTAAAGAGTTGATGTCTCTTAGGCTACGCAAAAGGACTCCGGTCCATGAGCATGGTTTGAGATGACTCGCTCCCAAAGAAGTTGCATGACCACAATGTCGTTTCCCACCAGAGTTCTCGGTGAATCTCATGTTGTCTACACTAACTACCTCTTATGAAACGTTCATAATTAATTTCAATGAAAATATGGTTGAATCTCTTTTTGAAAGAGTTGGTCAACATCTTGAAATATGAGTTGGTTATAAAGAGGACAAGTCCGTTTTGTCTTCGGCACTTTCTGTATCTTTTACTAAGAATAGTTCGAAGTCGAAGAAGAGAGTAAAAGGAAAATAGTTTTCAATCGAGCAAAAATAGACTAGGGGTGAATCGAGTATTCGCAAGGATAAAGAAAACAAGCATATAAGTGATGCTTGCTTCCAATGTAGAAAGACAGACCATTGGGCTCTGTAAACTGCACGGAGTGCCTTGATCGGAAATGTTTTGAGAAAGGTGCGTTTTTCATTTAACCTGAACTCAATATAGAAGATAAACCGACACAACTTTGGTACGTTAGATTAGGACATATTTCTTTAAGACGAATGAATGAGTTTGCATGTGAGGGATTATTCACGTTGGATGAAGTGAACTCAGTACGGGCTTATGAATTTTGTTTAACAATAAAAATGTCCAAATTACCATTAAAAGGGACGACAAATAGAGCGTGTTGAAGGTCTCTTGGATTTGATCTATACAGACATGTGTGGTCCACTATGTATTAGTGCCACGTGTGGTTTTAACTACTTTGTAACCTTTACCGATGATTACTCAAGGTATGGTTACGTATACTTGATGAAGTACAAGTTTGAAATATATTAAATGATCAAATATTTTGAAAACGAAGTAGAAAAGCAATTCATACGAAGTATTAAGAAACTACGATCCGATCGTAGTGGAAAATACTTAAATGATGAGTTTATCGACTATCTCAAAGAGAACGAGATTCACTATGTTACCATCGTACTTATAGGATCATGCACTCCATACCGCCACGTATTTACTGAATAGGGTTAACACCAAAGCAGTTAGTTCCACACCATATGAACTTTGGCATTCCGGAAAATCCACTTACATGAAGTGGCTAGTGGGAGACGAGTTGAATAGTCGATCCAACTTATGCTATTTCGTGGGATATCTCAAAAATTGTTTTAGATACTTATTCTACTATCCCTTGAAACGAAATTGTTTGTCTCGGAAATGCCACCTTCTTAATGAAGAAGGTTCTATGCGATAGAATAGGTGTATGGTAGAACTCGAAGAAATTCGAGAACCACGAATTGAAGTTCTAACACCATAAATAGAACAAGAGCCAACCAAAATCAAATAACCCATTAATGTACCTTCTCAACCATCTATGTGTAGATTCGAAAGGATCCGTAGAGAACTCAATAGGCTAACCCTCATCGAAGGTAGTCAAAATGAATTTGATGAGAGATGTGATCCAAGAACCTTCAATGGGGTTGTATTTGATGCAGTAAGGGACATTGGCTTAACACCATGAAATCCAAAATGAATTCCATGTACTCCAACAAGGTATCGACCTTGATGGATCCACCTAAAGGAATCTTTCCCATAGGATGCAAGTGGATCTATAATCTTTAAGTTGGAATAGATGGAAAGGTATCGACCTGTAAAGCTAGATACGTGGAAATGAGTTATACTCCAAGACAAGTTGTTGTATGTGAGTTAACTTTTCACGAAACATTATGCTATAATTCCATTAGGATTCTGCTAGCCATTTCTGCTGGTTGAAAATTGATATGAAGATCACCTTCCTCAATGGCAAGATTGAGGAAATCAGAGTGGTGCAGCCGAAAGGCTTCATATCTTCTGGAACTTAGCAAAATAGGGTTTGCAAAATTCCAGCGATCCATTTATAGATTGAACCTAGAATCCCATAAATTGGAATGTTCGATTCGACACAAAAATCAAGCAATTGATTCAGTGACGATTTTTCCTGTTGTCATCTAAAATGGAGTTTATGTGATGATTTTCATTTTTGTCTCATAAATTATTCTTTACGAGACGAATTTATATTTCGTCATAAGATCTCTACTCTACTTTGACGAATTTGAGTTTCGTCACAATAAATTGTCACATAAAAAGTTTTTTTTTTGTAGTGAATATGGGGAATGAGAAATTGAGAATTTTAAAATTGAAATAGAGGGAAAGAACCACATGTCAACTCCACGTTATTTTTTTGTCACATTATCTCAGTGTATTAGCCATATCGGTATTTAACTGCCAGATCGACATCACATGCGCCACATGTGATATTTCCGTCCAAGTTGACTAACTGAGTTAACGGCAGAACATAAATTGTTGAAAAGTGACAAGTTTGAGGACATCTTTCGTGGATGAAAAAATTTGAGAACATAAATCGTTTTTAGTGATAAAATATAGGGACATAAACTGTAATTTCCCCTTCGAGTGTCGATTTCACGATAAACCTCGAATAGAAACCATAAAACATAAGAACCTCAATTGCAATTTACAAGTCAATCCGAACACAAAACAAAAAAATCATAAATTCAACAATTGAATGTCAGGTTAATATTCATAGATGTCCACGAAAATATGAGAAAAACTCGGGGAATAACCGAAAAAAAGTGATGGTGGTGTGCAACAGTAGAAAACACCGGAGGGTATCTAGGAGTACATTTTAGGTAAGAGACAACTAAGGCATTGGAAAAACGAGGAGCAAGCAACACTCGTTTCATTTTCCAAAAATAGAATCTCACGATAGTCATAAACCAAAACCAGCACATGTATAAAAGAAGAAACTCTTCCATGCTATTTTTCGAGATCCTCGGTTTTGGCCTTCAGTGTCTGCTTGTTTTTTTCCGCCGTTTGTGTGATGGTGTCATCTTGCATTTTCATCAGATCATTGAATTCTTTCCTTTTCGCCCTCAAGAAATCAAGTTGCGCGCTCACTTTTAGCTTCTCCTTCTTCTCGTGCTCGATCAGAACCTGTAAAAACATACAACTTCTTTCAGCTTCTTATAACATTCTTGAGATAATTCATAACCATAAAACCCTAAACCCTAAAAGAAAACCCGAAAACCCAAAAACCCAAAACCCTAAAAACGAAATATAAATATAAATATATACCTTCAACTGGTTCCGTCTTTCGTTGACCTTTCCTAGGTCCTCTTCCAGCTCAGCATTTTTACGGTTGTGACACGCTAGTTCCTCGACTAACAGAGTTAACTCCCTTTCGCACGATTGCAGTTTCTTGAGTGTTTCTTGCTCCCTTCTCCGAGCTTCACACACGTTATTAGCGGATGCCAAAGCCTTCAACCTAGCATCTTCCATCATCTCCTTCAACTCCATATTCTCCTCTTCGAGGCGGCGAAGAGTAAGGCTATCCAGTTTGATCTTTCGAACCGTGTTTTCCGATGCAATCTGCATTTCAGACAGCCGTTTAGTCGTAACCTCCTCCAAAGTCCGACTCTCCTTGTCAAATTTGTCGAGCTCTTCTTTCTCTTGCTTCAGTAATTTCAACTCACTTTGGGACTTCTCCACCATTATTTCAGCCAGCATAACCTTCTCGTTCGCCCAATCGCTCCATCCTTTGAACTCTTTCTCGAGGGCTTCCTTATGTGCCACTAGCCTATCATAAGTTGTTCTTCCGTCGGGGAATGAATCGTTCCTCTTCATTTTCGATTTGGAATATTATGTGTATGTATGCAGCTCAGATGTGCCTGATAACATAATACAAGAACACTAGTCAGAATCATTACATAAATATATATTCGAATTTGAAGACAACATAATAAGATTAGTTGAAATAAAATTAAGTACACTAATAAAAAGTCAATTGTATTAATTTGGGCCATGATAAAATAATATTTATGGGTCTAGCTACTTCGAAAATTATTGGGTTTACCATATATTGAATAAAGTCCAGATATTTAGTTAATTATGAATAATCTCTCCATCCAAACGAGACCTTAATTACAGAACTAATTTCAGTGGCAAAACAGTATTATTGCAACTTGCAACATCCTTGCAGAGTAGAATAGATAGTATATGTTCTTCACTACATCTGTGAAGAATTTGAACTCCTAACTTGATATTCCTAGTTCAGATAATTATATTTCTATACAAAAAAAAAATAACACGAAAAAATTAAGTTTCATTGTTTCCTAATGTTGTTAGAACCGGACCGAACCGGACGGTCAGACAGGTTCGACCGTGACCCGACAATAAAGTGGTCTGGTCTAACATCTAAAACCGGAAAAATCAAAAACCGGGGTCAAATGACCGAAATCCGGTTTGACCGGGCAAAACCCGAGAACCGACGAGTCAGTCAAGGAACCCAGTTGAGTTGGTTATTTGTGGCTAGATTTGAGCGAACCTTCACAAACTTAGTAGTGGGTGGCCGGATATAGTCATGAGTGGTCGAAGGATTGTGGGATATGATCATGGGTGATCGAATAGGAGTGGCCGATTACCGGATTTGAAGAATAAAAATCGAAAAATATAGAGTATAAGCAATAAAATATAGTAAAAAGTGAGATGATGTAGATAGAAGTCAAAATAATAATTGGGAGATTAAACATATAAAGAAAATGATATTTTTAAAACATTAAAATTATAAAATAATGGCATATTAAAAAAAATCAAAAACCCGGTTGAACCGGTTCGATCCTATAAACCCATGACTCAAATGGTCGTCGGTTCTATAGTCGGTCCGGTTCTGAAAATATTGATAAGACGAAATGTGAACTCCTCAAATTTGTTTAAATAAAATACTAAGTATTAGATTTTTTACAATCAGTAACTAATTTTGAAATTAGAGTAGAAAAATATATAAAATATTACGCCAGTCTTTTATTTTTAAGTGTTGTTTAAGGTATATGCAATAATCCTAATAAATGAGATTCATTCAAATAGAAAAGCACAAAACTACAGATATTAAGAAATGATATTTTTTCTCCACATGAATCCTCATAAATGATATAGGGCAAAATAGGTAAAACGAAAATAACTCAGTCTTAAAGTCTAAGGCGACACGTAATATATATGGGAAAAAGTTTTATGGCTAAAGAGACAATTAAAAAAAAAAACCGTTAGTGTTAAAACTTCAAAAATCATATTACAAAAAGGGCAAAAGGGTCCGAAAATGCAGAAAATATAAATTTAGGGGCAAAATTAAAAATTCCAGAAATTTCTATTTATTTTAAAAAGAAATCATAAACTTACGGGACTAATTTGCAAAATCCAACAAAAACCGAAACCCTAGTAGGTTTTCATTCTCGAAACCTCGCCGCTTTGAAACCTAAAAGTATCCGCCGCACAACTATTTGCCATTTCCGCCAACACCAAAAACACACACACTCACACATTTCCGATCTAAAACATTTCAGATCGGAAATTTTAATTCCGGCAACTATAACGGAATCCCGGCGAACCATGAACACATATAAATGAGGCATTTCAAATTTAAATTCCCCTAGATTGTAAAGATAAAAAATTAATAAAAACAAATCTAGCTAATTCCATCATAAATATCATGTATAGTGTATCTCTATGTTTTAATCGAAAATTTATCATCCTGAAAACCCTATGCCGGTCGGGCGGTACCATGTTGGCCGTTTCGGACCTCAATTAAATAGCAAATTTACCTTAAACTCTCATGAAAAACATCTAAAAGACAATGTAATAATCTCTTGAGAATTGAAAAGGAAAAATAAAAAAATAAAAATGAAAGAGAAATCTGAAAAAATCTTGAAAAATTGGGAAAAACTTGTGTGATTTTCTTACAAGCCAGAAAAAATAATAAACATCCTTCTTAAACAAATCCAAATGTACAACTTGAACACATGAATAATAATAACCACCATAAATCAAAGAAAGAACACTGATCAACAAGAAACGATAAATGATATGTAAAAAAATAAAAGATTAAAAAGAAAGCTTACCGCCTAGTTTAGCCTTAGCATGCAACTTCTCTTTCTTTTGCTTTTGGAATGTAATAATGAGAATAATGAGAGAAATTTTCAAGTTAAATAATATATAGGGGCTCGTTAAATGTTAATATAACCCCTCAATATTTTTTTTAGTAGAGGAAGACCCAAACTATTTTGTATCATTTGAGAAAAACTCATTTCAAATTTCAGTCACCCAATTTTTTAATTATGTCCCTCCACCTTATACACTATCCCCATGACCCATCAGCCCACTATCCCAATGACCCATTAGCTGTGTATTTCTCTATTTTTTTTTCTTTATTGTTATATAGTATTAATATTATTTTTTTTTTATTATTATTATTATTATTAATTTATTATTATTAATTTTTTTAATTTTTTTTTTACTTTCTCTATCAGGTATGTTAATCAACTATGAAGCATATTAAATCGACTATGATAAACTATTGTCGATTAAGTAATCGACTACTAAAAATAACAAATCACAACTACAAAAATCCAAACTCAACTATATTTTACAATAACAAACAATATACAAACATTATAATTATTTTATAAAATTAGAATCAATAAACAAAAAATTCAAAAAAAAATTAAAAATTGGAGTCAATGAGGCATATTAATCGACTATGATGTGAAGCATAGTCGATTAAGAATCTGCTACTAAAAATAACAAATCACAACTGCGAAAAAATGTAAATCAACTATATATTACAAAAACAAAAAATATAAAAACATTATAAATGATTTATACAATTGGAATAAAAAAAATTGGAGTCGATCAACCTTAATCGGTTGCCAGAGCATAGTTGATTAGCTTAATCGACTATGAACATGTACATAGTCAATTAAGGTTTCAGTCTGCGCGAAATTATCTACATGCGCCGTCCTCCGCTCGATCAGGCCACAAAAAAACCCTAAATCTGCTTCCCCATCATCACCACACCGTCGCACCACACAATTTCAACCTATCCTTAACAAGAAAAATAAAATAAATAATTCATGCAAAACAAAACACAAATTAGCATTTCAATGTTCACAAAAAAAAATTAATAAAAATAATAAATAAATAAGAACGATTCAAAGGTATTTGTCAACCATTGTTGGTCACTCCATAAACAATTTTGAGCACATGACAAAACCAACACTAAAAAATAATAAAGGTAAAAAAAAAATACCTACATCAACAATTTCCGTAGATTCTCCTCCGACGACGAGTGATTCTTCTTCTTTCTCAACAGCTTGTTCCTCTTCTTCTTGCTCCACACACTGACTGGGTGGGACATGATGTTGAGAAAGAAGATTGTTTCTCCTCCACACGCCGACGACGAGTGATTCCTCTTCTTTCTTTCTCCATCTACCGACGGCGGCGGCGACAACGACGGGGAGAAGATTACCGGAGAAAAAAAGAAGAAGGAGAAAACAGAGAAGAGAAGAAGAGAGAAACCCAGCGGAATAAAATTAAAAATAAGATTAGAGTTTTGAAAAAGTATAATAGACAATTACGGATAGTTTTGGAATTATAAAACTATCAGATGGGTGGAATATTAAGTAGGGGAGGTTTTCTCTAATTATTTTTGTAAGGGGGTGTTTCCTTAACTATATTTCGTAGATAAGGGGTTTCTCTAAATTTCCCTAATATATAATGTGTAAGGATTAATGAGCTACTGTCCATGCTACAAACCCATCTGATGTGTGGGTGCTTAGCTGTTCCATTTTCGTGTATGAAATAACCCTATGTAATTTAGTAATTTACGGGTTTGAATTATGCAGTCATAGTTCATACAAATTTTCCAATTATGGACGTGACAAATTTTAGGTTTTCCAGTTTCCACTTTTGAATATTATTTTTTTTTTGTTAAAATCCCTCAAAATTTCATTGTTATTGTGGGAAAGTTTTGAATGGTTTTGGGAGTTACTTTCATTTTATTGTGGTGAATATGTTTTGAGAGAATAATTTTAGAATGAAAATAATGTTTGTTTATGATTTGAGATTAAACAAAATACACTGTAGCAGTCAATCATGTTTAATGCTATTTGAAAAAATGTAGTTAAGAAAAGGAATTTGAAAAATAAAATAGTATTTGTTTGTTTTTCAGAGACGACATTTTTTTACAGTAATAGTCAAATCATATATGCAGAGAGAAACTTTGGAAGTCGTTTTGGGATCTATTTATTTTTTTTGAAAACCTATACAAATACGAATTCATTTTCAGAAGAGAATAAAAGAGGAACCAAAACCGAACCAAACATTGCCATATGATCCGGTTACAATTGTTTTTATTTATTTTTTTCAAGTGTAATTTCGTGGTATGTCAAACTTCAATGGGCCTATTTTTAGAAGGGAAAATTAGTAAGACCTCCTTCATTTGGAAAAGTCATGTAAGGTAAACAATCATAGTGCAAGGCAGAAGCGAGAATTGCCCGAAAAATATTTATAAATTAAGAATGATATGCATTGTAGATCATAAACAAAATTGTATACTAAAATCTCCAAAAATCATGTGGTGTACAAGAAGGATTTATAAATAATCCTACTAGTCATGGTGGATCATAAACAAAAGCTTAACAAAATCTCTAAAAATTACGCGGTGTTTTAAAAGTGTGCAGCTGAAGTAAGTTTCATTGTCCACATCATCCTTAGATTCTTCTTCTTCTTTTCTTCCTACGCTCGTAATCACTTCCACTCTCTGTTGACTCGAAATCCGACTCAGAGATTGCCTTTTGTCGTTGCATGTTTCTGAGATACTCACGCATGTGCTATATGATCCCTCCAACCTCAATTAAAGTGAAGAAGTCAATAGCAAACATAGTGTTGTTTGTATTATCCTTGGAAAATATAGAGTACTCGAAAGAATCTTTTCTTAGACCTTCATTCAGTGAGCGAATTCCAAGATTAATTTCTGAAGAGAAATTTGACGAAATACGAGAAGAAGATCAAGTTGTACCCACTTCAGTCAACCGTTCATACCCCAAAACATGCCAATGTAGAGTGTGAGCAAAGAAATTTGTCACATTCCGTATTTTATTTATGTCCATCCGATGAATCATAGAGTAGTTCCGGACAAAGCACTTTTTAAAATTCACATTATAAACGTTGTCATACAAAACCGCTGCCCAAGCAATCCATAGTAGCGAAGGTAGGTTCGTTCCTGACTGCAACACTCCAACAACATAACACAAAGCTCCATCTCTAATTGACCAGGCTCCATTTTCATTACCCCAACTAGCTTATGCCCTTCTTCTTCGAAATCAACACTTGACATACTCGTCAAGTAAATAGTTCTTCGAAAAGATCAATCAAATTCGTCTCTGTCTCGTCCTTTATTTCATGGAGAAAGCACCCACATTCTGTAACGAAGCCCATAACCACTTCAATACTGTCATCGGTTGGATTCTCCAGAAGCAGAGTCAGCAGCTCGAGAGCAATAAGCTCGTGAGCTACACGCTGGTTCACCAAGTGTGCGATGAATTTGACTGCAGCGATTAATTGTGGTTTATCATGGCGCATGAAAAGATGGCCGATTTCAACCAAATTATTCTCGACAATTTAAAAGGAGGAATATATACGCCGCCGCTTTTCCCCAATCTTGCAACCAAATTCCGGGACATCGTATTGTAACCAAGTCCATGATTCATTAACTTAATTATCTGTTGGCACTTAATTATTTATCGGCATGAAAACTTAATTATTTGTAAATGGATTGTCTTTTGAGCCCTAGTTGATGATCAATCTGCAAAATAATTAGTACATAAACTTCGTTTTTTATAAATTTATTTTTAGTATTTTTTAGTTCATGTTATCATGAAAAGTTAATTGATTTGAAAACCAAATAATGACAAGTTTCTAATATGCGACTCGAAACAAAAAGGAATTTTCTCGCATGAATATTTACATACATGTATATCATTGAAAAAGTACTTGCACAAGTTTCATATAAAATAGATGTTCTATTAAAAATGAAGTATTGTCATACTCTAAGTTTTAGGTATATGAGTCAAGTCTTATGATTTAACCTCTTTGCTTGTGGATTTTAGACACAATGTGGTTATGTCACTAATCACAACAAGAAAAATAGCAAAAAAAAAAAAAAAAAAAAAAAAATCAGACATGTATATAGTATAGGAAATGTCAAGTAATATACAAAATTTACAGACCATCTTCACTAATGTTGAAATATCAATTGCAAATGCAACAGAGAAAACAAAATGATAAGGGCCTACCTCTCTGGTATAGGACAATGGTAAGACATAACTAGGTAAAGAGCACCGTAAGGATGAAGATTGCAGTGAATATCAAAGTTGTTTTCTTGATCAGATTCGCCATACAAATAGCCGAAATACCCACGAGCAATTTCTGCAGAAGTATGTGTTCCCGCAAAAGTAACACCGGGGAAAGTTGTCCACAAAAGGGAAGCTAGCATAATCAGGACTTCCGAGATAGTACCACCACGACCACCGCAGCAAAAACAATCCACCAGAAACTTCTGCCTTCTCATGTTTTTTTATTCTGTTATTAAAATCTTCCTTTAGATCCATAAGCATATACAAAATGTTGTAGCTCGTTGACAAAGCGGGGTCTTTGTCTGAGATGTAGAAACGTAAGGGATCTCCACTATTAATACCAACAGACCTGACAGTGGCAATGCTTCATCGCTGGGGGG